TTGTTTTCTCCTCCAGATTGTTCATCCAGCCTGTCTTCTCCAGACAGGCCTGCGACTGTAACTCTTTAGGGGAGTAGAGAGTCTCATCTTTATCCCATGGAGTGGCTGGTGGTTTCAAACTGCAAACTTCATGGTTAGCAGCTCAATGCACAACCCACGCTGCTACCAGGGCTCCTCAACATATAATAGGATGACTTTATTGTACTTTTAAGAGCACACTATTAGATAGAGAGATAGATAGACAGACAGACCGAAAATAAAAGCATACCATTATGGCACTCATACTGGGGTAATAACATTTTTAATTAAAAAAACTACAGTATTTGGATCAGTCAGGAAGGATGTTGTGGTGAGGGAGAAGCTGCCACGTCTTCCAGTACTTTGACAAAAGCTCAGCTGCAAGGCCCCCTGGCAAGGTGTCTGTGGGGTTACATTGTGGGAGCAGTCATTCTGTCTCTGGGGTTGCAGCTTTCTACAGAAATAATGATTCCATGCAGGATTTTAAGGAGCTGAGGGAAGCTTGTATCTTTCAAAGGGCAAAGTGATTGCAGAATGGAAAGAATTTCTTCAGCTTGATTCCATGAACGTCACTGGCCTATGCCCTTGAATTATGAAGCATGACTATGGGCTAAGTAGTAGTCTTTCTTGGTATGTAAACAATTAACAAATGCAAAAATAACAACAACAAAAATTATGGTATCTGAGGAACTTGAAACACAATACCTTATATTATCATTTTGTAATATGAAATACTACCCAAAACATACAACTATCTTTTTATCTCTCAAGAACTACAACAACCTTCAGTATAAATTGCAACTTAACGTAAAAAAAAAAAAAAATCATGGGAAGACAAAATTATTTATATACTCTTAGTCCCACGACCTAAACAATATTGCAAAAGGGCAGCAACAGCCAGACATGGATAAGGATAATAATAATTTTAAAAAAAAGATAATAGAAATAAGAGCAAACATTATTATCATATGAAATAAATGACAAAAATAATGATCAGAACAGTAACTACAATGAGTGTTAAAATCAATTAGCATTCCCGCTTTCATTTAATTCTTAAGTCATTTTTCCATTTCACACAACAGTAAATTTGAAGAAGAAAAAACCTACAGCCAAGTTCTCACATTTAATTTCTTTCAGGCATACTCTATCTCTAACAAAACATTTCTCTCTATCTCCCAGTCTCTTCATCCCAACTACTTGTCTCCTCTACCAAATTTACAATTCAAGATGAAAAACTAATGATTAAAAAAAAAATTTGCCACTGACAATACATACCTCAATGATCACAGCTGCTATTGGCTGGAAAGGGTTGACAGTAATTGGCTCTTGGTCCAACTCTGCCTGAACGTTGCTTCCATGGAGTTCCGACTGCTCCCTCTCTCTTTCTTCTCTATTGTTTGAAGAAAGAACAATTGCAACTCTTCACAAGAAAATACTGACCCGTGTTTAAGAAAGCGTTAAATAGAATTACAGCGACTAAATGTGGTAACTTTAACATCTCAACATGGCACTTAGTTACTGAGTACTTCAGGAAATGTTTAGGCAGCTGCAAGCTTTTAGCCCTAGTCTAATCCTTGAATTTGAGAAGTGCTTGCTGACAAAGTGACATTTCCTATCACAGACTTGCTAACGTCGACAGTTCATATGAACGCTTTTCCACATGCCACGGGCTAATCTTTATGAATTACTTTCCTAAAGCAATACTGTCTCTTCACTGATACTGAGATCAATAAATTTTCTTGTTAACACTTTTCTTAAGATCTGGGCTTTTTAAAAAATGAAATTGAATTGAATTTGAAATTGAATTTATTTAATTCAATCTGGTTTTATTATATAAAAGCATATCGAAACTTGCTTCTTTTTTATAATACAAAAATAAACGAGGAGCATGGAAGGTGGGACATCACTGATATCACTCGATTTTTCTCGAAAGCAGAGACTACCAGAACGAAGTTTATTTATGCTTTATTGACTATTCAAAAGTACTATCCTGTACGGATCAGAACATACTACAGGTAACATTGACAAGAATGGGCATGACAGAGCCCTTCATTGTGCTTATGCAGACACTACACACGGAACAAAGGAATGCCACCTGGTTTAAAATCAGAAAAGGTGTGGGCCATGGTTAATATCCCTTTACCAAAGTTATTCAATCTGTACATAGAGCAAATAATCCAAAAGGCTAGATTATATGAAGAGAAGTACAGCATTAGGATTAGTGGAAGGCTTACAAACTTTTTGCGATATGTAGATAATACAATTTTGCTTGCTCAAAGCCAAGAGCAATTGAAGCACTTACTGAGGAAGATCAAAGACTATTGACATCAGTATGGATTACATCTCAACACAATGAAAACAATAATCATTCACAACTGGCTGAAAAGGGACATCATGATAAGTGTAGAAAACCCCGAAGTTATAAAGGATTCCATTTTACTTAGCACCACAATAAACGCTCCGCATGTTATATGGGAAATCTGCTGAATGCTGACGAAACCGAGTGCATTGGAGAAACGAGGAGAGAGGAACAAAGGGATCAACCTCTGTCAGTGGACCCCCTCTCATGCACGCTGGACCTGACATGGTTTTCAACCTTTTCTGTATCCTTGTTTGGTTTGTTCCTAGGAGGGTTTATCTCAGAGGTGTCCTTTCTCCCCTCAGAGGTGCTATGTTCAGTGGTGTTCATCCTCGAGGTTGTGTGATGTGTCTTTCTGTTTGTTGGTACATGGAACCCAGGACTGATGAACCTATAGGGGCAGCAGACAGAATAAGGGTTTGGGGCAGGGTGGGAGCAGGGGGATTTAAAAGGGAAATGATGTCAAGGAGTCCAGGAAGAAAAAGTATGTTTGGAAAATGACTGTGTGAGCAACTGTACAATCTTGGTTGACGTGACTGAACTATGGAATGATATGAGATATGTATTAACTCCCCAATAAATAAGATGTATATTATTAATATATATATACACACACACTACTTTTCACTGCGAAGATTGACTCAGCACTTGACACATACCCTTGGCATTTCAATCACCTTGAGCTCATGCAAATGCTGAATGACTAAGAAAGACCAAGAAGAATGGATGTCTTTGAATAATGATGTTGGAGACCAATATTGAATATATCATAGGCTGCCGGAAGTAATTCCATTTCATACACCTTGGATATGCTATCAGGAGGAACCAGTCCCTTGAAAAGACATAATGCTTCATAAAGTGAGGGTCATCAGGAAAGAGGAGAATCCTTGAGCCAGATCTACCTGGTGGCCACAGAATGGTTTCAAACATGAAAACCAATGTGACGATGGTGCAGGATGGAGAAGCGCTGTTTTATTCTACATGTGGTCACACAGTCAAAAAATTAAAAGATCCCATGGTGCATCCAAGTGACAAAACCAGGCATCATGACTGTCTTTGGGATAGCTAGAGAAACCTAAGTGAATGACTGCTCATATTGTTGAGCACTAAGGGATGGAATGCAAATATTTATTTCCTGTACGTTCTATCTCGGAATTAAATGAAGAATTATTACTAAGACCCCGAGGATTTCCTTGAAAAGTAAAAAAGCAGAGGCATCACTCAAGGATAATGGGGTCCAGCCCACCGGGCTTGCAACCACAGTGGGCCAGTATGTTACCATAGTTTAGGAGCAGCTTAGTAGAAGGCAATCTGCGCCCTTACTGGAACTCACTTCAAACACCTTGCTTGCAGCCTACTCCATGCCCACCACATTATAATCCCGCAGAAAAACAAAAAGAAATTCTCTTACATCGTTAAAGTTCTTTTAAAATATTAGGGCATTTTGCACCATTAAAATTATGATGATTTTATGGTAACATTTATGTTTGTTTGTTTAATTCAAAGGTTGGTCAATTTTAAGTATCTTCTTTTGGGTACACTTTATCCTACCCTCTGACAAAAAATGAAGGTATTTTCTTAAGTTCTTTATCTAACACAACAGTACAATTTATGCAAACATATTTTCAAAAATCAAAGTTTGTAAACTTAAAGGCTTTCTTTTCAGCCACTTTATTTCTTGGGCATGGGGCATTACCCTGCACAGTACAGAGTGCTAAAGAGCATTCCATTAGATATGAGTGGCACCTGCTACCTCTTTGCTGTGTCAACCAAAAATATCTCGAAACACCACTAAAATGTCTACTAAGTAATAAAACTGCCTTGTGAGTTGAGAACCACTGAACCAAAGATGCTAATAAAAAAATGAGAGATTTTTTTTAAAAACTCTGAGAAATCATAAATATATCAGGAATAAACTGAATTACTATATCACTACCAGGAAAATTAGAAATAATAATGAAAAATATAAAGACTAGAAATACTTACGTGTCTTCTTTCACACATAAGAAGTAAACTGAATAGATAAAACTAACAAATTATTTACAAAACTGTCGTACTTTTTGACTCTTCCAATGCATTGGGATCGAAATTTAATCTACTTACCTTTCTTCTCGTAATTTTCGAACTCGTTCAGCTCTTTCTCTTTTTTCTTGTTCCTCAAGCGCACGTTGCTCTGCTGTATCTTTTTGGATGCGTTCATTTAAGGCATCAAAGTCCCTTGCAATGATATGTAGTAGCCAATAAAGTCCCTTTTTAATGGACTTGTCAATTTTCTTCCCATAACCCAACACTGCTGAACAAGGTTCCTGAAACACAGCAATTTTTTGATTCAAAAGATTAAAACTAAAATTAATTCACACAAACTATCCATAAAGCATTACATCTAATTACAAGTAGATAAAATGTATCCTTCTTTACTAACAATGTACACCAACCACATAAAATAGGAGGTCAAATAGTATTACCAGTAGGGGTTTAGTTCATGCACATTGTTACCTGCCATGAAGTTAGTTCCGATTCACAGCCAACCTATACAACACAGTGAAGCACTGCCTGATCCTATGGTATCCTTACAATCCTTATATCTGAGCCCATTGCTATAGCTACTCTATTAATCATGGGTCTATTTCAAAGAACCTGCACTTAAACCTGTCTCTGCACTCAGTGGATGGCTCTAAACAAGTTGTCTCAGTAGTAATACACATGACAGTCCAGAGTACCATAAAACAATTTTTTGTTCTTCAGTGAATCTTGCTGTGTGGTTCAATGGATTAAAAAAAAATTCCAATCAAAACAGCAGTTCTAAGGGGTTGTTCTGGACTAGTTAAATTCAAGGCAGAGAGGTGGGCTCTCACGTTTATGGTGACTACTCTTTTGGGTTCCAAAAAAACAATCTTCATCAATGGGCTCAAAGAATACGGGTACTCATGGGCATATATCAGGAAGAAGGTTCAAGAAAATTAAAGCCTGCACTGGTGAGAAAAGGACCAGGAACGGCGCGGGGAGACAAATTTTCCATCACAACAACGGTCCTGGTCATTTTTTAAGGGTAGCAAAGGCTATCCTATGAGAATTCTCATCTACCCTCTTGCCCTTATCTTGCCCCTTCAAACGCCTTTCTTCCTCCTCAAACTCAAAGAACATATCAGAGAAACGTGGCCTGAGCCACTTGGGAGTGTCCAAACTACTGTCTTGAGGTGGTGTAAATCAAAGTGTCCAGAGTTCTTCTGGCGTGACCTATAGACAAGGAAGCGTCATCTTCAGAAGTGTGGAGTAGAGGGAGAATATATGATGAAGCAACAGCTTCACATTTTGATACTCTTGCTCAATAAAGGCTTCTATGACTTTGTAACAATACTTTTTACTTATTCCTATATTTACTTATGAAACACATATGTACAATAATCACTAACATTATACATAGGAGATTGAACTATTTTATGAGTAATTTCTGTAAGTGATGGGAGATATCATGACAAGAATTTTATAGTGTCATTTGTAATTTTAAAACAGTTCTTTGGGAAAAAAAGTGAACTGCTAGAAGAAAAATATCCTTATGAAAATATCAAGAAAGTTTCATTCTGTACACAAGGAAATTTATAGCAGCAAATATACAATACAATTTCCAGACTAATTTTATAAAATCAGGTTAAATAATTGAATCTTTTTTACTTTTTTTACTTCTGTGATCGTTCTCCATTCTGTCATTGCAGCATATGAATGTGAACGTTTGAAATTGAGTAAGGAAGACTGTAGATGAATCAATACACTTGAAATGCTGTGCTGGGGGAAAATATTAAACGTACCATGGACTGCCAAAAGGACAAACCGATCTGTATTGGAAGAAGTAAAGATAGAGTGTCCCTTAGAGGCAGGGATGGCACAACTTCGTCTTACATACTTGGACGTATTATCAGCAGAGACCAGTCCTTGGAGAAAGGACATCATGTTTGGTAAAGTGGAAGGGTGATAAAAAAGAAGGCCCTTAACGAGATGGAGTGACAGAAAGGCCGACACAGAGGCTGAGACATAGGAGTAATTGTGGGCATGGTGCTGGGCCATGCTGTGCTTTATTCTCTTGTGCGTAGGGTCGCCATAGGCCAGAGTCAACGCAATGGCACCTAACAATAACGTGATTGTTTAAAACTTACTATACAACTTTTCATGTTTAAAATTTAGATTTATAGTTTTTGTTTCCTGTTGTACAAAATTATAACATGACACATTGGTATAGCTTATGGGTCCTCTCTGCAGTGTAGTAAAACCTCATACAAGAAAACTTTAAAATCTTTGTGATTTTAGAGGATAGTTGATGGAAATCAATGACTGTTACACAGCAACTTTAAATTATGATATAAAATAATATCAATAGACTAGTGAGAGGGTGATTTCCTAGATATGGAAAAAAATTCTTTGGAAAGGTGAGTTTGTAAGTGCCATCACTTTTCACAAACACCACAGTGAACATGTCTCAAGGGGTGGGAGGGGGAGGAGTGAAACAAAAACATCTTACAATCTGACACAGGCACTTGTGCTCGTTGACTAGTTTTTCCAGTGACAGGCACTCAATCACATCAGCTTCTCCTAAAGCTCCTTCCTTATCTTGCTTATTTGCCAACCTAGAGAGAAAAGTAAAGTAGCTTTATAGCAAACTCATAATCACCAGCCATTTAATATATTTTAATAGTTTTATTGAGCTAGAATTAATATACCATAAGTTAATACATTTGGGCTTGAATTCTTTTCTAAAGTGTATTATTTCCCAGGGGGTGATAGTACTTTGGGAGGCGCATCTTGTTGAGCCACTTTTAGCAATATTAAAATTGCTCAGTGGCTTTGGCTAGAGTCCACCAGATCCCGCTAAAATTCTTTATCAATCTTTTACCTAATTTTTTAAAAGTAAATCATTTTATTAGGGGCTCTTACATATAACAAACCATACATTCGTTATTTCACTTGGACATGTACAATTATTGGCACCAGCAATTTCTAAACATTATCATTATCATTCTTCTTGAACCCTCTCATATCAGCTCCTCTTTTCTCCCCTCCCTCATTCACCATGCCACCCTTACAAACCCTTACTATATTACGTACTGTTATTACTATTTATATTCTATCAACTCATCTACTATCCTTAAACCAATTCTTACAGTAGCCATGGGTGACCTTTACTTAGTTCCATAATGTTATTGAGTTTATAAGATAAAGCCTTTCGTCAATTACTTGATCATAACATAAAATTCATAGAGAAATAAATGTTTTATCCTTAGCCTTTATTTCTTAATTTTCAGAATAATGAACTGGCATCCTACCAAGCTCCAAAGGTGGTCAAGTGGTTTTGTTTTGGGGGAGGGGAAGGCCATGGTCAAGAACTCATGAATTTAAAAATGCATTTTAAGTGACTTCATCTATCACAATTACTCTTCATTTTGAGGCTCAAATTTTACCATTTTTAGTCAGAGTCCTTTTTCCTATTCTTTCCAATCTCCTATGGGTCAAAATTTTGATAGGTTTTCAATTTACCTCTCCATTGTTTCTTTTTAAACATAGATGGGGGCAGTGTTTTAAAGTATTTTAAAGATAACAATCTGGGCAGTCTGGATATTTATTGTTAGTGACTCAAGTTATACATATAAAATACATAAGTGTATATAACCAGACCTATATTTTTATCTCTATTTAGTTTTTAGCTACCCTCTCCTCCATCAAAGGCTAGTTTACTATAACACATTCTTCTACCAGGCCTGTAAAAAGTAAATGGAAGAGTAAATTTGCTCTGCTGCAGTATAAAGAAATTTTCTTTCTCGTCTAGTTTTTTCTTATATTTTCCCTTCTAGTAAATTTCTGCATTGTTAGACTGTCACAATGAATAAACGACTGAACATATATTACTGAATAACTTTAGTTCTTCAGTATTTCAAGGTTAACAAAGTATAAAGGAAAGTGATATGGAAAATCTAAGGCATGAACTCTTTTCTGACTAGTCTGCTTTTGAAATTCTAGGATTTTATGAGCTATATATTTGGAGTAAATTCTAGTATTTTATGAGCTATATATTTGGGGTAAATTCTCTAACCCAAATTTCATATTTTTACCAAGTTTTGTTAACTGAAGAAAGTAAAACAATCTTTGTTTAGATGCAAACCTAGTTTTTGTGAGTAATGTATTTTAGAACAATGTATGACTGGAATTACAGAGCCTGAGCCAAATACTCTGTGTAAGTAGTTTAACAAGGACTTCCTGCTACCAACGAGCTCCACTGAAAGCAATCTTCCTTCATGCTAATGAATGGGTGTCTAACCGGCACAACCGGATTCTCCAAGTGTGGAGTCAGCACTGTATTCTCCTTGTGTTATATTAACTGACAACTGTATCTCTAACTTGTTTGGATTTCAATTAAGCTAACGATATGAAAAACAATATGACATTAGTCTATGAACTGTAGGATGGCATTTAAATAATTTGATCAATACATTACATGAAATGGTATTGAGATTTTTTTGGCTCACAGGCAAGACGACAACCCGGCAGGTGTAAAACAACAAAAGGAGCAAGGTGGAAAGGTAAGTCGGATCACTTCCTCTTTTGCACTTTTTAAGTTAGGCATTTATAGTCTTAAATTTGGTTATACTGTGACATTGAAAATAAATAGCTCAATGGAAAATTAAGCTTCCTTGTTTTTTTCAGATTTGGAACAGGCTGATTTGCTAATATATGCTACTGATATGAAATTGAAAGGGATTGGGTTTAGAGCTCACTTTGAAAAGAATGTTATGCCCAATCTGACATATAGATATATACATTTTTCGTATTAGGATAAGTTTCAGCAAGAATTAAGACATCATTGTTGTTTCCTAAGATCCTTTAAAATTGATTTGAGAAATCAGAAAATAGTCTTATTGTATAGCACTACTGCAAAATATCAAAGTACCTGGTTACTATTTTAATGTCTCAGCTAATGAAATGAAACTTAAATTATAAAATTCAATATAAATATTACAGTTGATATTTGAAAATTTTAAGTCAGCAGCATTAAATGTAACATAAATAGAAATCAAGCAATTCTTAATGGCTTAACCCAAATACGTTTTCTCTTTTGAGATGTCTCAAAATCTCAAAATGCTTGAGTTTAAACATTTCACTGAGCAAATTTTAAGCACTGAATAGCATATATATATATGTGGCATTCTTTCTTTTTCCAAGTATTTTTAAAATTAAAGATACATATTCAGGTATTGTTAACAGAATTCAAAATTGTATAGGAATATAGTCAGCAAAGTTATTTTATAATTCTTAGCATGTGAAAATTTAGTAACTACTCTATTTCAAATACTAACATTTAATAAAGTGTTTTATGATATATTTATAAGTAAAATATGGCTTCAAAAAGTTATGGAACATTTCAGTGGCTCTTAATCTCATTTTTCCATAAACTTTTTAAAGTTCTTACACACACAGCAGGTGAGTTTCGAAATTTTCAAGTCTTAAATGTTTTGAAAAAAACAAAACAAAAACAATCTTCAGAACCTCCCCGCCCCACACACCCTCCCTGGGGACGAACAACAGAAACGTGGGTGAAGAAAGACAGTGGTTGGTGTAAGATATGAAAATAATGATAATTTATAATTTATCAAGGGGTCATGAGGGTGGAATGGGGGTAGGGAGGGAAAAGAGAGGAGCTGATACCATGGCTAAAGTAGAAAGAAATGTTTTGAAAATGATGGCAAAATATGTACAAATGTGTTTGATTCAATGGATGTATGATTACTATAAAAACTGTAAGAGGCCCTGGTTAAAATGCTTTTTTAAAAAATCTTCACATTTTACACAAATTTATTTATACTAAATAAAAACAGAATAAAAAGCATTACAGATTGTAAAAATGTCAAATAATTTAAATAATATATAGAATTTATAGTAATTTATTTTTTTCTAAAGTTACTTTAGTCCTTGTTCAAATAGCTGATGACATTAATAGTTCAGAATAAATTTCAACCCTTTAACTAGGGAAATGTTGCAAATTGTCTTCAAGCACAAAAACATTCTATTTCACGTTAGATTCAAAACTGATTATATTTCTTGAACTATGTTAGTTAACCAACACAGTAACTATTAAAAGTAATTTCTTCATTTAAAACAACAGCAACCTATGAATCTTTAAGTAGCTATCCAGGATGTATTTCATGCAGTACTCAATAATTTTTCATCATATTTTGGTCCCTGAGAATTCTTCCTATTGATAAATTGGTGGAGAACCTTTTATTGGAATCATTTGGTTTTGGTTTTAAACACTCCACTAAGCAAACTGCCAGTGTTGATTAATATATATATAGTTAATATATATATATGTTGATTAATATATATATTATACACACACAAAGTTGTATAGTAATACAGTCAGTAAAGTATACTCAAAGATGATCCATATTGAGTTAACACTTTGCAACATTAAGAAAATAAATTTGGGAAGGAGGAGGGAAGGACAAAAAGAGGAGCTGATCCCAAGGGCTCAATGGAAAGTAAATGTCTAGAAAAGAATGATGGAATATATTATGAATATGTCAGATACAATTGATGTAGGGTTCGTAACAAGAGTTGTAAGAGCCCCAATGAAGTGATTAAAAAAAGAAAAGAAATTTAAGGTACCACAAAGGATTGTATAAGATGGGGAGGGCGGGCACTCATCAATATCATGTAGCCTATGTCTATGGGAAGCCGCTTTGAAATTATAATATACTTAGATGTTTAATTTTGCTTAATATTCTGATTTGTCATTATCTGTCACTGTCATCAAGTCAATACTGACTCACAGTGACCCTACAGGATAGAATAGAACTGTCCTTGTAGATTTCTGAGCCTATAAATCTTCATGGTAGTAGAGAGCCTCTTCTTTCTCCCGCTGAGGCTACATGTTTCAAACTGCTGACCTTTTAGCTAGCAGTCCATGGTGTAGCATTTATACTACCAGGTATCCTTGTGATGATGTAAAATTAACAACCAAATAGGAAATCATTGTTTGCAGAGTTATGAAGAATTCTAGCAGTTTGACTACTAGAAGACGCAACTTATACACATCATATAAATGCACATGAGTACCTACGTTAAGTCAAGTTCAGCATAGATAAATAAGGATTTGGGGATCATTCTAAATGGCATTTACGAGTCAAGATAATAAACTGTGACTGTCAGCCAAGGAGGACAGACACAGAAACTTCTCCCTTTGGCTCCCAATCTCCACAATGATGCGAAGGATATTCTAAATTTAACAAGAGATTTTCAGTGATATGACTGGAGGATTAGAATTGATAATTCATTTGTGTAAAATGCTTAATTTGACTTGATATTTAACTTGACCTTAAAGATTCTAATAAAACTGCAAATAATTATATTGATGTGCTATATTATTGCCTGCTAGAATTGTTTTTAAAAATCACATGCATAAATCAATAAGATTTGATAAGGATAATTTTCATTAGTAGTATATTTCACTAAAGATAATCTATTTCTATTCATATGTACAGAGAAATAGGAAGAAATTTGAAAGGTTATTAGTTGTTTGACTCTGGCAAATCACTTTATTTCTTTCAAGCTTTTAAGAAACTTGAAAGTACAGTTT